TCCCACCTGCCAGTGCGTACTCCGCACTGGTAGCGGAGCGCGGGAATAGCACTCCATGGCGTCTTCAGAGTCCGCTGGGCGCGGCTTCTGGCGAGATGACGAAATAGTGGTGGATAAGGACGGCATCCCGCACTATACCGGAGTGCAGCCAGGCTTGATGCGGGAGTACAGGAAGCGTGTGCTGTTCGCCTTCAGCAGCCTGGAGGGCAGCGGCGATGACGAGGAAAAGGAGAAGCGGTCGCTTCTCAAGAAGCAGTGCCGCTTTGCCAAGAAGCTGGTGGATGGGCTTCACGGTGAGGCCTGGCGTGCTTGCCAGGATTTGGTGGCGAAGCCGGAAGAGCTTCGGGTGCCAGACGGCTACAAGAAGGTCTTTGCAGCCCTGCAGCAGATCGAGAAGGTATCGGTTATCAAGGCCACGGAGGCTTTCGACACCTAATTCGAGAAGTGCTACAGGAAGCGGGGTCAGCCTGCCGCCAGGACTGGGCAGACCTGCAGGACCTCGCCGAGAATGCCAACATGAGCCCGGAGCTTCAGGCTTATTTTTTGCTCAAGAATGTCAGCCTCCCAAGGACGACCGCCGGCAGATCCTCCTAGCGTGCCAGTCGAACTACTCGGTCGAGGCCATTGAGAAGGCACTTCGGGTGTCTTACTATGACTACCACGAGCGCGAAAGAGCCCCGGCGAGAGACTGGCCTGGGCCGCGGCGAGCTCCCAAGGGCTACGGCGGGAAGGGGCCACGGAAGCCTCATTATGCCCACGCCGTTCTTGATGGAGAAGAGGAGCCGGCCGAGGACCCCAACGAGGAGGACGAGGACCCGGACTACGAGGACGAGGCCTTTGCGGCGGGCGACGAGGCACCGGACGATGACTACCAGGAGGCCTCCGACCTTGGAGCAAGCGAGGACGACGAGATCTACGAGGCCTTTGCCACCTACCAGGAAAGCAGGAAGGAGCTGAAAGAAGTCCAGAAAGCCCGGCAGTTCTTCCGACCCAAGGGCGAGGGAGCCAGCGATGAACGCAAGCAGGCGATTGCCAAGGAGAAGGCCCGCACGAGATGCTCAGCCTGCGGGCACATCGGGCATTGGGCGGGCGACCAAGCGGCGGCAGCAGCCCACGCCGGAAAGGAGGCAGCCCCAAGAAAGGAGGCCGGCAATCCTCCAAGCGAAAGGCGTTCTTGGTTAGCGAAGCGCCTCTCTACTTCAGCCTCAACGACGGCGAGGGCGACGGCTACTGCGACATGATCCTGGCCGGCCCGGACGAGGACGGCGACATGGACCAGGACGCGGGGAACACCGAGCTGGATGAGAAGAGGAAGTTTGTCCAGTTGAGGCTCCGGCAGGAGACCGCCACGGCAGCGAGCAGTGCAGACTGGGAGTTGGTTAGCGAAGCCCCACCGTTTCCTTTTGAAGGCGGCCCGGGCGGCCTGAGGACCGAGCTTGCCGAGGAGAGCCAGCACGACGGCAAGCCCAAGGAGCCGGAGCAGCACGTCTTGGTGCCGGTCAAGGTCAAGGGCTCGGGCTCGATGGCATGATCCTCCGCGACCTTCAGGGAGATTGTGACCGATGGGGTGTGCAGACCTCCGGGAGCCGGGCTGAAGTGAGAGCCCGACTTCGTCAGCTTTATCGCGGGGAGCTGGTCTTGAAGAAGGGTTGCACCAAGCGTTGGGTGCAGCTGCGTGAGTACGTGGGCCCCCTTGTGCCCGAGGATTGCAAGACCAGCCCGGAGAAGGCCAAGACCAAGGGTTACAAGACCAGCCCGGAGAAGACCGAGACCAAGGGTTACAAGACCGACCCCGAGACCGGAGAACCTCGAGACCGATGCCGCATATTTCGGCCCTACGCTTCCACTAGCGCAGCAACCGCAACGGAGACCAACGATGCCAGGAGCAGCCCGGAGGACGAGACGATCATCTGCCCGAGGTCGGGCCTGGCGATTCCTCCGAACCTGGTTGTTGGAGAAGTCGTCCCCCAAATTAATGGCTGCGTGGTTTGCAAGTGTCCTTTGGTTCTTCGCCGAAGGCTGGACAAGACCGGCTACTTCTTCGGCTGCCGGAACTTTACCACAGCGAGGCGCTGCAAGTTCACCCTCGACCTGCCTGAGGGACTGCGGCTCTACGAGAAAGCTCGCCGAGGCGAGCGCCGATGAAGTGCACCACCGCAAGGGGACGATTTCACCCTACCTCCCTGCCTTTGCCTACCGCAGCCAGGAGGTGGAGATGCATGGCCTGGAGAATTCAGGGCCCGAGCCCCATGGTTTTGAGAGTGAATTTGCTGGGTCGACACCGCAGACCCCTACTTTTGCAAGAGCCCTTGCCACAGGAGCACCACGACCTCAAGAAGGACACGACTCCACTTTGGATGAGTCCAAGCTTTGTCTTCTGGACACCGCCTGCACCTCGTGCCTTCACTCTACACGCTGGCGGCAGGCCTTTGAACGGTGGCTCCCGGAAGGAGTCTCCTGCACCCGGACTGGCCAGACCAAGAACTTCCACTTCGCCAACGGCCAGTCGGAGAGCCAGCTCACCGTGTGGAAGGTGCCGGTGTACCTCAACAACATCCACAGCGAGATTTTCTCGGCCGAGCTGCCCAGTGGTAGCACCCCTCTCCTCTTATCGTTGCCGACCATGACCGCCCTGGGGATGATCATCGACTTGCCCGCGGGGAAAGTGACCGTGGGGGCCCTGGGGATCGAGATGACTTTGGTGTCCACGGCGACGAAGCACATCGCTTTGGATGTGGCAT